GTAATTCTCTTTTGTCTGTTAGAGTAGCGTCCATAATTTTTACGCCTTCAATTTTAATGCTTATTATTATTATTATTATTATTATTATTATTATTATTATTATTATTATTATTATTATTATTGCGCGGTACCGAAAAATTCGGTACACCTCGATACCGCGCGATTTTTGCCTGCGACCGAATGTTTCTCTACATTCGGTCGGAGGACGTAATAATTGTTCCTCAATTAAGGCTTACTTTTTTTTGCTGCTTCTTAAAGCAGATTTCTAATAAGAAAAGTAAAATTTTTTAAGAAAAAAACTGCTTTGAGAAGCAATAAAAAGCCGTCCCAAATGATACCTAAGGCTTCGTTTGGGACGGCTTTTTTACTGCTTTCTAAAATGGAGTTTTAGTACAAATTTTTTTTTATTTTTGTACTAAAACTCCGTTTTAAAAAGCACTAAAAAAGCCGTCCCAAACGAAGCCTAAGATATCATCTTCCTCAATCATCTTGGAAGATCTGTTCCTTTTCTACAAGTTTTGAGGAGTAGATTCACAGAAGGAATCGTTAGCTTTGTTTGATTTATCTGGTTCTTAGTCTTAAGTTATTAGGGAGTTTTGGCTGAGAGATGAAGAGTTTTGTTTTATCTGAGGAGCTTCCAATTACAAATTGAAGGCTAAGCATTAACAGTCTTGAGGACTGAGTATTGGCTAGTTCAAGAGTTTTGTTTTGTTTTATTTTTTTTTAAACAGCATGGATTTTTGCTTCCAGGCTCACAATTAGGATCGTAATATTTCTGGTCTATGGTTGAAGCTCAAGTTGAGTGAGTCTGCAGCTCAAGGTTTTTTTTGGGACGATTTTTTTATTGCTTCTTAAATCAACTTTTCAGTATAAAATTTTGGTACTAAAAAACTACTTCAGGAAGCAATAAGAAAGCCGTCCAAAACGAAGACGAAGTAAAGTTTTATTAAACGATGGCCTTAACCAAGCTCCTGACTTTTGATAACGTGCAAAAGGTCTTAGGGATGATCAATGTTTGGCCTTAGAATAATTTTAGGAATAATAGCAAAACTTTGCGCTTAAACCAAAAGATAGATGAGAGAGAGAAAATAAGCAAAGCAATTAGAACATTCAGATGCATGCTTTGATTGATGTAGATACTTATATTTATGAACATATAGAAATTTAAAATTTTCGTTAAGCTTAAAGAGAAACATATGGAGATTAGATTAATTAAATTCAAATTTTGGAGATAAAGAGATCGGGGTAACATTTTGATATAATCAAAGATTAAAAAGGAATAGCAGTTGATATTTGAAATCTTTATTCATTAATAAGTGGAAGGAAAAAGAATCCTCTACACATCTTCTTTCTCTCGTGGCTACATTACATTATGGTGCTGCTGCAGTACCTACTTGTTTGGTGGCAGTCCACCCACTTGCAAGTTTGCTCGTTATCTCTTGATTTTTTAGGTTGAAAACTAAAAAATGACAAAAATTATAGAGCATGACCTAATTTAAATAGCTCAATTATATAGTTTCTAAGTTAAAATGATTAGCCTTTTTTCACTATAAGTGTTGTGGACTAGAATATACACGGCGATAGAGTTATAATACTACGTCTTAAGGTTGCACAAATATTCAGCTCACACACAGAGAACACAAGATTTTTATATGGAAAGCCCTGTAAAAAGGGCAAAACCACGGGGCCTGACCAAGGAGAGGGCCTGAGGTGGTGGGCCGGCGATGGTGAGGGTCTCAGGTGGTAGTCCGACGAAGGTAAGGGCCTTAGGTGGTGGTCCGACGAAAGTGAGGGCCTTAGGTGGTGGTCTGGCGAAATTCCGTTGTTAGTCCGGCGAAACTCTGGCGGTGGTCCAACGAAATTCCGACGGTGGTCGAGGAGGAGCTTCTTCCTTCTCTTCTCTTCTTCTCTTTTTCTCTTCTTGCTTGGATCCTCTTTCAAGAGAAATGAGGGGTCTATTTATAGATTTATGTAGTGGCATAGCCCGTAAATAGGTGAGAGATAAGGGGAAAAGGGGAGTGGTTCGATGGACGGTCGATATTGAATCCCTTGATCATGGACCATTTTTAAGACATTTAAAGGTCTTAGTGGTATCAGAATTCGGTGATCTTGAGCTCGTTGGATTCGTCTCATCGAGACGCTCGATTCGACTATATGCACGTGATGTTTGGAAACAGTTTGGTAATCCAAATTGTGGTTCAAACCTTCCAACAACGCTTCTAACTCTTGATTTTGATCCGTTTGGACTTGGATTGAGTTGATTTTGGTGTCATTGGGTTCGTATTTCCGAGACGCTCAGTTCGACTGTATGTTTGCTGAAATCAGAGTTTGGATGGTCCCAATTTTAATTTTGAAAGTTTTCAACTTGATTTTGCAACGAGATTCGTGCCCGATCGAAATAATTTTTTGACGACATATCACTAAGAGAAAGTGTGATTGTGAGGCATCACCGCTCAATGGTGAATGATCGATGATGACTTGCGGATGACAATGCCGTTCAACAATGTGCGACGATGGATGTTGGATGTCAGCATTAGTCGATGACGGTTGATGGCATGCATTGATAGCAATCAACAGTGTGTCACTAGTGAATTTGGCGAAGAATATTAGTTGCGATCAATGATGAATTTTGGGTTTTATAGACAATTTGGTGACTCTCTAAGTCCCATAATTATATCCTTTGAAATCCTTCTTAAATATGTAGAAATAACATGTATTTATATACTTCTTGAGGGGATATCTTGAATATTTGTACAAGGAATCAAACACTCTACTAGATGGTTTTAATCGGTCTATTTTGATAATTTTGATATTTTTTTGATCATCTAGACCTTCAATATACTACAAAAATTGAGTAATATCAGGCTTATCGAAATCTTCTTGATCTTGAGATGTTATTTTTCATTATAAGCATGTGAAGTTCAGTATTAGTGCTTAATTTAAATTTATTTGAATTCATATCAAATCATTCTCAGTATCAGTAGGTCATCTTATCAATACACTCATTTTTATTATAGATTTTTTAGCAGAATAAATTTTGATTTTAAATTTTTGAGATCGAAAAATTTTGCTCAAATATTCTAGAGAAAATTCGAGTTATATTTATGAGTCTTTTAATTAGATCTCTTTCTACTAAGATTAAACCATTCTTAATATTATCGGGTTTATTTCATCAAGCCACTCTTTGCTATTCTAAGTTTGTTGGAAATAAAATTTTGATGATCTCAAAGTCGGTTTTAGAAGTTTCTGACTTTAATGTTTTGAAGCCTAGACACCAAAATGCTACATCAAAACTTATGCTTATTTAAATAAATATTTATATGAATAATAATCCTATTAATACTCTAAAAAATTGTAAAATTAATATATTTGATTAGATTAAGTTCAAAACTGATAACTTTAGATATCACACCCTAGCCAAGCCGGCCAAGCACTATGAATTCGAAAGTCTTACCACAATTTCTTCTTTTCTTTTTTAGTGTTTTGTTACTTTTTGTATTATACTGTTAACATATTCGGAAGAAAATGATCGTGATTTATTATGATCAAAATTTCCCTATATAATGTGATATAGTTTAATTTGGGGCATTTTATAAAAAGGAGCATGTTTTAAATCTTAATTAGCTTAAGGTTTAGTGGCGGTAATCCAATAACAAAGGTTGAGCAGCGATAGTCCATAGTCCGATGACGGTGGTCAGATGATGGTAGTGATCTGATAACACAAGTCATGCATTGGTGATATATTTGACAAAGATGGTTGGGCTGCAATGGTCCAACGACAAGTCTTAATGAAGGTGGGACGGCGATAACGATTAGATGGCGGCGATCGGACAATGGTCCAACAATGACAATTTTGTTATGGTCAAGAAGTGGTAGTCCACTGGCTGTGCTCGAGTGGGGGTTTGACTGTGGCACCTGAATGGCAGTCCAATGGTGTGATTTGATTGCAGTTGTTGGGAGTGGAGTTTTGAGATTCTTTAAACCTTTGAGTTATTTTGAATCACAAGCTAAGAGTCCACTTTATATGGAAAACACCAATATATTTATAGATTTTGACAATGACATGCTCGCAAATATAATCAAAATCCTGAGCATTCCATCAAATTAGCTTTATTGATTCTCACGATCAACATTTAAGTACTTTAATAATGTCAACATTGACAATCATAGGCTTGATGGATTTGCCTCGTTGGGATGCTCGAATTGATTGTAACACGCAAAATTTGGATAAAATTTCATTATTCAATTATTCTCTTAAAATTTTTAACAATGCTTTAAGTGCTTGATGCACTCACTTTTACTTGGATCAGATTAGTTTTCGTATCATTAGTTTCGTCTCGTCAAGCCGATGAGTTGACTATGAGTTTGCTTACATTGGAGTTCAGGTAATGTAGAGCAAAATTTTGAACATTTTAATTTGCATCAAGATTCATGCTCAATCTATTTTTTTAATTTTTTGTGATGTTCACCTATGATATTTAGTAAAGATAAATTAAAAATTAATGTAATTTCACCTGAATTAATTGGCTTATAGTTATGATATAGTAATTAAGAAATATATATGTATATATATAGCCATTTTGATTTGATTTATTGCAATTTTACAAAACATTAAAATCAAATCAAAACGATTGATATAATCGAATTGTATAAAAATTTTGAATTGATATGAATAAATATTTTTTTTTTTTTGGGTGCAAAACCCTAAGTGTGGGACCTTACCCCTCATTAATAGAAGCTGTTAGGATTGAATAAAGTGCCAAAGAAATTAACCATGTAAAAACTATCTGATCTGGTGAGCTCAGCTAAGCTCATAGTCACACAAAAATCAAGATATTTTAACAAGCATTATGCAGTTGGGCACTAAATTAGTTGTTAAATATCATTCAAATGATTATCAAAATCTTAAATAGAATATCTCTTATATTATATTTATACTAATGGATCAAATTAGAGTACTTATCATGCTAAAAAAAATTACTCATTTGATTTTTTTTTTTTTAGGGGTTGCGCGACTGCAAATCCTCCTATCACAAATTATGACGTCCATTTTACCACTTGGGCAGATGGTAGACCAATGCCCCTTCAAAGTGCAATGAAGGTTACGAATCTAGGCCACTGACATTATTGATCACTCGTTAATTAGGCCATATCGAGATAAATACATATATTTATTCATTAGACATCTTAATCTTCAAATAAGATAAAAATATTACTAAGCTTATTTAAAGTGAAGTATGTACTTTCATCATTCATGAATATATTTTAATGTCATTTAGCTAGTACAATAAGGATGGATTTAAGAGGGGCTTGATGGGGGCACATGTCCTCTCGATATTGCTGCAAATAAATCGAACCGAGTCGAGTATGTGCTTGTTCATATTTGAGATTGTTTATTATTAGTTTGTTCAAGCTTGGTTGAAGCCGGTTCTAACTTTTTTGTTTGTGTTCAAACTTGACTCGTTCAAAATGAATAGACGTTCATGTTTGATACTTTGGTTCATGTTTGGTTTGTTTATGCTTACCGAGTTTTAAATAAATGAGTCTTGTCGTGCTTACTAACAAATAATCACCTATAGCCTTTTGCAAACATACATAGAGGGTGATTTCGATCTACCAAACGAGCCCATTCATGAACAAAAAAAAATCATAAAATGATTATTCTTATAATTAAACAAACTTGTTCATGAACATTTTAAATAAAAAATGCCACAAACATAAATAAACAACTCTTGTTTATGAGTAAATTCATTATAATGAAATAGTATAACACAAAAAAAAGTAATTATTTTTTTACCTAATAAGAATAATTTATTATAATAAAACTAAAAATTATGTGAAAATATACAAAAAAAGAGATTCAATCAAACTTCTTAACTAGCTTCTTATTGAGCTTATTCACGAGCTTTAATTGATATTGTTCATGAACATAAATGAGATAAACATAATGTTCATGTTTGTTTATTTAACAATTAAATATTTAAAAAATTGTTTAAACTTATTTGATTACTTAAATAAACGAGCATGAAAGAACTGTAACTTAGCTGAGCTGCGAGTAGTTTGTTGAAGGCTCGGTTCATTTGCAGCCCTAAAAAGTTGGATTAAGAAATAGTAAGAAAGCCGTCCCAAACAAAGACTTACTATTTATCTTCTCTTTTTTTTTTAATGATTTTTTCAAGAGTATGTAGCAAGGGGCTTTATTATAGATATGCAATAGATTTAACGTGCTAGAATATCGAATAAAATATCAATTTTTGAATTTAAAGTTGTGCTTATCTTAGTAACATTTTGATTAATATGTAGGTATGGTCTCCTCACTCAAAAAATGTAATCTAATATTGGAAGCGCTCCCATCCTTTTCTTCTTCCTGACCGTCTCCCACTCCGATTCTTCCGATCAAAACCATTAATCTCAATTCCAAACCCTAATGCCGATCCTCTCCATCCCCGCCCCATCATGACTCCGGCTGCCGGAAACCGCCGCCGCTTCTCCCACGCTATTCCACCTTCTCGTCTTTCCTTCACCGCCCTACGCTGCCTCCGCCTCCGCCTTCGCTTACTTGTTTTCCTCCTCTTTCCTTCCCTATACCTGCTCCTCTTATCCTCCACTTCCTCCATCGATACCCACTCTTTCCTTATCGATTTCATACCCGTCCTCGCATTCTCCTCTGGTCTCCTCCTCCTACTTTGTCTCTTCCTCCCCTCTCTACGCGTCCTCCCTCGCCCGCCAACGCTCCCACTTCTGTGGTCCGTCGGAGGGGCTCGCACCGATCGCCGTACCGGACTCGCCGTACAGGTATACAGCAATGGCGACGTCTACGAGGGCGAGCTCCGGTGGGGGAAGTGCCATGGAAGTGGAGTTTACTACTATTATAAGAGTGGAAAGTACGAAGGGGATTGGATTGATGCGAAGTATGATGGGCATGGTGTCGAGACTTGGACTAAGGGGAGCAGATACAAGGGGCAGTATAGAAAGGGCCTTAGAAATGGTTTCGGGGTCTATCGGTTTTATACTGGTGATATTTATGCAGGAGAATGGTTGAATGGTCAGAGCCATGGTTATGGGGTGCACACTTGCGACGATGGGAGCCGCTATGTTGGTGAGTTCAAGTGGGGGATCAAGCATGGCTTAGGGCAGTATCGGTTCAGGTAATTTGCTGAGGTTTAGGTTTTATGTGGATTGCTTCGTTGGAATGTGATTACTATTTTTCCTGGTTTGATTACTAAGGTGGATTATTGCTACAATAAAACTTGATTTATGATTTTGTTTTATCTTCGTAGAAGTGAAGTTCTGTGCTTCAATTTTACTGTTATAAGGTATAACCGATATGCTGATTTTTCCATGATATTGGTTTGTGTATAATACGGAAGGCATGTGGTCTGCACATCATATATCGTTATAGTTTTGCATTATTTTTTTGTTTATCATATAAATTAGCTAAATTGGATCCTCCTCATTTGCTGGTGCAATACTTAACAACTATGCATTATGCTCATGTTGATTTAGCTATGCCAATGGATACTTTTTTTTTTTCATGAAATAATAGATCATTGAGAAATGTGGACGGATTTTCTCATAAAAGCCCATTTTCATCAAACTGGTGTTTGATAGAGGATGTTTGTATCATTTCCTCCAAAGCAAAGTTTGATAGAATGCTTATGCAGAAATTAATGATGATCAAAATGATTCCAAACTATTACTAGCCGCTGCCTCTATGTAGGACTTCAATTCTATGTTGAATATCCATATCTCACACCATCCATTTATGTTATATATGAACTTTTAAAAATGACACTGAAAGCTATTACAGTTGAACATTGAGAACGGCTTCAATTTTCTGCGCAATTTTTGTTGTTCATTGTTGTATTATGTTTCCGCTCATGGATATTGTTTTCCTTTTTTTTCTATTGTGTAAATCATTTATATCCTCTTCAAATTACCATAGTCCAGATGTTACTGTGCTGTACCTTTAATGTTCTTATTAAGTTCTTAACAGGGGAAGGTTGGTCATTCCTTTTACTTGCATCAGTATGTATTTTGCTTGTTATTTGCATGCCTATAGATACACTTTTTATCTTTAGGATATATAATATGCCATGATGGACTATTTTGTCTTGCTAGTGAGGCTGTGCCGGGTAGGTTATGAAATAAACTATTTTTCAAACATTAGTTCACTCTACCAGGTATACAACTAGTATTTGAATTGGGACTTGCAGCATAGTTGGTTGCATGATTTGATATAATTCAGTATGTGGTTATTTAGGTGAATACTCTATGGGACATTATATTCTTTTATCAAAAATTGTAGTAGAAAAACAGTTGGTATCAAAAACATTCTTGGCATCATTTTTCTTTCTTTTCAAGATGAACGTAATCAAGAGGATACCTCAATTGATCTTCAAATTTGAAACCACTTATACGTTTTAGAGGCAAGATAATTTATATACCTAGCAGCTAGTTAGAGTTTGGCTCCCTTTTGTTGTTATCCATCATGTTGGTAACTGATTGTCCAGTGATGCAACCTCTATAACACTATGGGCTTTGCTTTATTTTTTCCATTAGAAGTTTTTTTGTTTTTTTTTTTTCTGATCTAGCTCAAGTAATATAATATGTTGAATTCAAATAAATTGGAATCATCACTTCTTGAATGCCACCATTGGAGTTTGTGTCTTAATTAGGGCATACCAAAAGAGTTGAGTGGTGCAAGTATCCCCTTTGAGCCCAACTTTCCTCCAATACCTTGTCAATTACTTAACTTTGAAGATAAATTTGCCACCTTGAAGTTGATCTTTCGTAATGTGTGAAAGGTAATTATTTGATATTACCTAAGGAATCTTCTCACGAACATCCTATGGAATCTTTGTTTTCAACTTCCTCATTGAAAAATTCTAGTGGCTGCTCTACTTCATACTTTGTTTGACAATTATTTCTCAAAGCATAGAGAATCTAATGAAGGATACCCCACTAATGTAGCTTGTCTTCCACTTTCATTTATAGACAGTTGGAGGTGCTGGGAACAAACTTGAGAAACAATAATATTAGGAAACTTAATAATTGTAGAGATTTTTTTTGGAAATGATGAGCGATAAATTACAAAGTGTGTGGCTTAAATTTGTGACATGAAGAAACACCATTCTCTAATTATTGGATCATTGATGGTTTCAAGTTAGATTTGGTGGTTAGAATTTGGAAACTTGAATTTGAACCAAATCAAATTAAATTTATTAGAATTACTGACTTGAGATTAGGAATTCAATCAAGGAGAAAACTAAGGAAATTAAGTTCAATCTGGTAAAGCTATCTCATATAGGGATAAAGTTTTGAGGTTAGCTCGGAGAGAGAATCATTTATACCTTAAACCTCTCAATTAACCGTGGGGAATAATTGAGGTATTGTAGTACCTCAATCCATCAACGGTAAACTTGTAACCTTTTATCTCAGGCTTTGCCTTTTTGTTATGTTTTTCTTAAATTTAAAATATTGTTTGCACTATAGGGGCGTTTCTTTTGCAACTAAAAGCACCCACTTGGTAGAAAGTTTATCTTGCATAAGACCTTCAGAATCACTAGCAAATGAATTTTAGTCGCTCCCACTACTTCAATGTTTGATGTCATGTGCCTGATGTCATTCTTATTTTCATATGCTATCGCCATAGCACTCTTGGCAGCCTTTTAAGAATTAGTGTAGAAAGTCAAGGTAGAACATTTTTCACCCTTTTGCCTTATCTAGATCAAATCTATCTTCAATCTAGGAAACTACCTCTTATTACTACGTTTCCACATATTCCATTACTAGTTATAACTTGTGTATCACCAACTATCATAATGCTCAAGACTTTATCATGAACAAGATAAGTTTTCCTACAATCTTTTGTAGAATAGCTTTTTTGATAAACTCTTTGTATGGAAATGAATTATACTAATCAGCTGAGTCCATTATCCAAGCTTTCATAGGACTATTCACATTAAGTAGTAGTTTATCTTTTCACTTGTAGAATTCACATATTCTTCGATATGATTTGATTTTCTTCCCTCCTTTACCTTGTGAACTTTCCTTTTTCATGTGTTCAATCTTTCATATCACCAACATGCACTGCTACAATCCTTCGGTTAATGCATCTACTGAGATTTGAATCTATCTCCATTGTTAACTCATCTTGAACTTTCTTCCACTAATCTAATAAATTTTGGTAGTAGAAGAAACTTTACATGATTCATGCCTATTGTTGTTCACATTTAAGATCAAATCATAAACATCATTAAGGTTTAATTTTGTACATATGTATTAATTATCAATCATTGTCACAGTTCTAACTCTGCTTTTCAGTTGTTATGATAAAATCTAAATATACAAGCTTTGTCTTCTAAGTTGAACTTGTGATTAGATTGAGATCTTTGATATGTGTTACTATGAAAGCACCTTTTAACCATCCTGATATTAAAGATTTTCCCTTATTCTATTTACTTTTTTATTGTAAAAGAATTCTCAATTTCTCATGCTTGTGTGACTAAGCTTTCATCATGTCAGCCATGATTTTCTCATGTAATGTATTAAAGAAAATGTTGTTCTTTAGTGAGAGGTATTTAACTCTTAATGCTTGTTGTTCCAAGAGACTCCAATATTCTTAGCTCATGGTAGTGGCTTCGACTCTAAGTTTTAGATTTAACTCTCTTTGATATATGCAATCTTTGATCAACATCTTTTAGTACAAGAAATCCTTGACATTGAACCTGTCGATCTTCTCTTTCCCATTTTTTTAGTTCTACTGCTTCCAATTTTTGCCTAAATCCAATGGTTTGACTCTAATAGTAGTTGTTGGAGGAAAAATGCATGCCCATTAGCAATACTGAAAGAGATCAATTGGAACCAATGTTTAAAATTGCGTATTCGGGTATTGAGGCATTTTTCATTCGTGAGGCGAGGCGTAAGCCTCAAGGCGTAAGCCTCAAAATCAAAAGATTGCGTAAACATAAAATGATAAAATTTGTATATACTAATGAGTGAATAATATAAAACATAAAAAAAAAATATACAAGTTGAGGCGCTAGCCTCATAAAGAAAACTCGAGGCTTAAGCATCGAGGCGTTTTTTACTGGAATTGCGCAAAGGCAGGCCTTAAGGCGAGCCTCATTGATGTGATGCATGAGTTGAGTTACACAAGATTAATTAGAAGATTTAAACATTAGCTTAACCACTTATATAATCATGCTTCAAATTAAAATCGATTACAAGAATTCCGAGTGTTCCACTTGTTTAGGCAAAGGAATTACAAGGAAATTAACCAAACTATTTAAGCAAATACAAAGGAGAACGTAAAGTTAAAAGCTAGTGATTTGAATCCAACGATTAATACGGAGTTGTTCACCTTGAGGCCTCTTCTCTCTTTCCTACGAAACTAGATTGAGCGGCGGAAGATCGTCCAAGCTAGAAGTGAGGTTGCCACAAGGAGGGAGGAGCCAATGAACGTTGCCGTGGAGAAGGAACTTGGAGGTGGAGGTGGCATGGGAGGATGACCTTTGATGATCCACGTGTAGTCGGAGAATTGGTCATCAACGGCGTCCACTAGTGTTGGTAAAATCCAATCCAAGTACTCCTCGACGATATTGTCGAAGCCAAATCCGACGTCGAAGAAAGGAGATCTTAAGACGTGGATGCCTCCGTAGATGTTGTAGAAGAGTCCGTGATCAACGACGGGATCCGCCATACACCATGGATTTGGAAACGAGCAATCACCACAAGCAACCAACAATGGGAGGAAGAGAAGGGGAGGGGTGGTCGGCGGGTTGTGGAGAGTAGGAGGGGAGGCCGGCGGTAGGAATAGGGAGAGAGAGGGTGAAGTTTATGTTAGAAAACTGAAATTAATTTCAGTTTAAGAGATTTGGGAGGAAAAATATTTGAGGTCTAATTTGAAATTCCCAAATTAAAGGAGGGGATTATTGCTCATTTAATGGGGAGAGCCAATAGAGGGGGCGGCGGCATCAATGATGGGCTAGGGATTGATGAAAACTGAAAGAAATTTCAGTTTTAGGTGAAATAGGAGGGATTTATTTTGAAATTAAAGTTTGAATTTCAAAATAGGGAGGGGGATTAATTGGGAAATTAATGGGAAGCCCAATGAAGGGTGGCCGGCGTCATCATGGAGGTGGGGAGGAGTTTAGAGAATTGAGGAGGGGGTTTCCAAATTGGGATGATGACGAGGAAAGCGTTTTCGTCAAGAATTCAATTTTATTGGGATGGAAATTGAATTCAAAATTCTAAAACTTTCCTAATTTGGAACATCCTAATTTGGAAAGAATTTGAATGTGAAACTCAAATTTCGAAAGGGGTTAAGGAAAACAGTGGCGGTGGGGAGAAGAGGGAGGTGAATGGCCGGCGGCAAGGTGGTCGGCCGGAGGAGCCGTGGTGGCCGGCGGGTGGGGCTCCAAGGGTGGGGTAAGAAAAAGGGGATTTTCGGCTTCTTCCAACTTTTGGGTTTTGCTTGTGGTAGTTTGTGGATGATGGAAGGAACTATAATAGAAATTACGTAGAGAACTCACAAAGAGATCTCACACGAAGAACTCACCAAGAGATTTTCAAGAACTCACTAAGAGAACATAAGTGAAAAATTTTCATTCAACAATTCATTAGTCTCATACAAGATACATGAGCCCTTTAAATAGGCTCCAAATGACAACAAGTACAAAAGTCTACTATGCCCCTTGGGCTACAAGAGAAAACAAATACCCACAAGGGTAAAATGGGAAAACTGAAAGTAAATAAGTAATAATAAAAATTGCAGATACAAATTGTCCTAAGTGGTACAGGCTCTCCATCATGGCCGTCGATCTCTGGTGTCGTCTCTGATAGACGCGCCAGAATCTCCTGTCGATGCCCCCATCACTCATATTGCACAATTTTAAACCATGATTGGAACTAAAATATCTGCAAGAAAAACACAAGAAAATGTGACTAGAATTGATGTGGTTGGTGAAATATATGCAAGTCTATGACCACAGAGAGAATGATGATTACAAGATTTATTACACCTACTACATATTCTCCACTCTTTATTCATCTCTCTAGTAATCTCTTTCTCCTCTTCCTCTCTCTCTCTCTCTCTCTCATATTCCTGTCTTTGTCTTTTAGGCTTTGCATCTCTTCAAGCAAATATTAATACAACAATCTAAGTAACATAAATCTTATTACATGTACTTATTATGCTTATTGTTGAACGCTCCAAGGTCTATGTGCATGCTTCTTCTCTTCATTTGCTAACTAAAATAAAAGCATTGTGGGATAGTAACAATATATAATATATATAACATATTATAAGATTTGATATATTCTGACTTTATAAAGTTATACTTCAGCCCTTCTAGAAACTATATACTTTTCCGCCGTAACACTGAATGTTGCCACTCACCAAGCTTGTCTCTACCACCCCTATAGAACCTCCAACCATACTCTACCATTACACCAATCGTCTATCTCCATGTTACCTATCATCGCCTAAATGTTGTTGCCAACTAGGGACTGGCAAAAATTTTGACTCCACTGTTGATATCCTCTGTCACCTTAGGTTGGCACCAAGATGGATACTCAACTCCAGCAACAAACTCATCTCCTCGAGTCATTACCCAACAACAAGTGAAAGCCAAGTTGTTGATCCAATCGAAGGTATCCTGTTGTCTACTTCCTATGGAACCTCTATTGTCGGCTATCTTATTGACTGATGGTAATCACTGTTCGTCTTCATACTCTGCTTGTTGATCATCTCTCAAAACTTCAGAGAATCTGATGAAGGAGATCTCATTGAACCAATCAGCCTTCCTCTTTCATTTATAGCTAACTATATGATGTGGGTACCAATTTAGACAACAACAACAAGCCTTTATCCCACTATTTGGTACCAATTTAGAAAACATTAATAATTGGAAAATTAATAACTGTTGAGATTTTATGGCCTATAATTTGGCAATTAAAATTTGAACCAAATTAAATAAATTTGCAATAATTTATGACTTGAAATCAGGGATTTCATTATTAGAGAAAAATTAGGAAATTAATCTCTACACGTCTTAACTGTATGACTGATAAAAATAAAATCCCAGAAAATAATCATGGGCGGAGATCTTCATATAGAAACCTCTCAATGCTTCCTCATTCATTCATGTAATCTTTGAATCATAATATTTAGATGCTGCCATGCCATACTAGTTGAATACTTGAATTGTAGGCTTTTTTTATTTTGTTTTTTTTCCCAGTAAAGTTTGATTGTGAAAAATAAAATTGGTGCATGAGGGATTCAATTTTAGTACCTTGGCAATGACTTCCAATCTTTACCTGTTTGGTTGAACGTAATCCTCTAAAATTGATTGCTACATAACTTTTAGTATCATATTCAATATATTTGGCTTTGGTAGGTTTCCTCTTTGGAAGTTGGTAAAAGTTGTTATATGTAAATATATTCTCATCTTACTTTTGCCTCACATAATATAATTGATTTGTTATCTATAGTTTTGCACCTACTATTTTTCTTATACAAAAGTATTGAAAGTAAAACGAATGGTGATTTTAATTTATGAACTCACTAAAACCTAGTTAGCCATTGCGAATAAACTTTTAAATTAGTTCTATTCCTCCTATTACTTTTCTGAAAGCGCATATATGTTTTCAACCTTGTTTTATGATAGGATTACATTTTTTTCCATGTACGAGTAGAAATTTATTAAAATTAAAATTCGTAAAAATATATAGAAGCAAGAAAATCAGATAAAAGGCTTATCTTTTGTCTTGACATGCACAATTTGAATCTTCGACGATATAAGCTTTTGATTTTGCATCACCAATAGATAAAGTGCTAGAGTTTTATAATAGAATATAAACAACAAATAAAGACTTGTGCAGTAAATTATATCTAGCATGCCAATTTCTTCTGCAGGAAGGCTGATAAGTGTCTTATCAAACAAAAGATCAACTTCCACTCTTTTTCTGAGATACTTTTCTAGATATAATTCCATGCAATTTGCTGTTTGCCTGTCTTGTTAGGAAACTTTGGTTAATCTCTAAATATAATTATTTGAAGTGTGGTTTTAGCTTAGATCTTGCATGCTGAATTTAACTAAAATTAGAACTTCTTAAGTAAAACAATTAAAATCAAATTAAATTTTATCTTTGGTCACAGTCATCTCAACGCGTACAATTTTATCTTTGATAAGTGTTTTTGCTCAACTTCTATTGAAGTTGCATCAAGTATATGCTCATTTACTTCCTAATCATTCATCCTTGTTTTTGTTCACCAATTTTATTTCTGATCACGCTGATGTAGCTAGGAAACAGAGAGATTAGAAAAAAGCTTTGCAGCAGGAGCTATCCATTATGAACTTATGTTAAGGTTACACTCTTTTAATCTGATGGTGAAATAGATTGGGATATTATTAGTTGAATACAAGTTGGATGATTGAAGTGGAGGAATACATCGGCCTTGTTATGTGAAAGAAAAGTACCCTCAAACTTAAGAAGAAGTTCTTTGAGATGGTGGTGAGACATGCAATGTTTTATTGCGTATAATGTTGGCTATTAAAAGAAAAGCATAAAATTAAGTGTTGCAGAGATGAGCATGCTCTGATGGATGAGTGGCTTTACTTTTAGAGACAGAATGTGAAACGAGTATATATATGGCAAGGTTGAAGTAGCTCTAGTGTAGATGAAATTAGAGAAGTCTCAGCTTAGATGGTTTGATCACATAAGATGTTGGCCTTCCGATAACCTGGTTAGGAGATTAGATGTATTAGATCCGGCCTTTGTTAAGAAAGATAGAGGTAGACCTATAAAGACTGGGTTATAACATATTAGAAATTACCCTTTTTTTATTAGATTGAAATGGGAATTTGACTATTAACAGGATGCAATGGAGAAAAATAATTTATGTAGCTGATCTCACATAGCGGGATAAAGAATTGATGTTGTTGTTGTATCTTTTCTTCTCTATTTTCCATAAACTAAAAGTGTATATTGAAGTGAAGGCATGCACAGATTAAATGCTCCTTCTATTATGTCATGATATGTTCATGTTCATTGCTAGGATCGGAAAATTTTAATAAGATAGACGATCTGCACAATAATGGAGCCCACTTTAGTTATCGTTTATCTTATACTTCAGTCTCTTAGATATCGAATGACAATGTTATTAACCAAAGTCTGTTCTTTGTAATATCTTTCTTCAGCGCCTTTAATTTTACCCAGTTTTCATATCACTGATCCGGGTTCTACTGTAACAAGGAATGGGGACACCTATGCGGGAGAATATTTTGCTGACAAGATGCATGGTTTTGGGGTCTACCATTTTGCAAATCGGCAATGCTATGAGGGAGCATGGCACGAGGGAAAGAGACAAGGCTTAGGAATGTACTCCTTCACAAATGGCGAATCACAGTCTGGTCACTGGGCAAATGGCGTTCTGGAAATTTCTAGCACTCGGAACCCCTTCCCTGGAACTTCATTTGCCGTTAACCATTCCAGAGTACTCAATGCTGTTCAGGTGCATAACATCTTCCAAAACTGTAAATTTCATATTTAATGACTAATTTACTGTATTAGTTACATGCATACTATGTTGCACCGATATGGATGCGACGACACGGATACGGGACACATAAATTCTTAGAAATACATGATACAGGTACGGCGTGGTCACGTCATTATAAATTATAAATCATACATTAAAAAAAAAAAGCAATCAAAGCATAATATTTGAATTGACAAAAAAAATAAAAAGCAACATCATTTTAGCTTTGTAGCTTATAATATTAAAATAAAAAAGTAAGCATTGAGTCAAGGGAAGAGTTAAAACTCATTGCCTAATAAGAATTTTGTGGCATGATTCCACTAATTATGTTGTTGCATGATTTGGTGACATGTTTACTGAATAACATATGAGAACTAAACATATATATATATATATATATTTTTCCATTTAAGAAGACATACAAATCACAATAACATGATTTTTTTAATACATGAATAAAAAATCAAAGCATTACAAATGCAAAATGATTGATGCCCTAATATCATATTTTCTAGTAGACTAACATAAATGTAAATGACTCGCGGGTTATAAAATGAGAGAACCTCGCTCACAGCCGCGGAAGTAAATATGTTACATATTTTTTCTGATTTTTTTACGTCTTTCAACGGACACGCGTATCGGATACGCGTCCTTTTGAAATTAAATAGTATTTTAATTGGATATGGCTTTAACGTCTCCGACACATATCGGTGCCGTATTGTATGTGTTTCGTGTCCGATAAGTATCTGTTACAACACGCCTTCATAAATAGGTGTATCGGTACAACATAGCATACATACTGACTAAATCTTGAATACCAGGAAGCAAGGACAGCAGCAGATAAGGCATATCATGTGCCAAGGGTTGATGAAAGAGTAAACAAAGCTGTTGCTGCTGCGAATAAAGCAGCCAATGCAGCTAGAATTGCAGCTGCCAAAGCTGTCCAAACTGAGAAGAGAATCCATAGAGACGTTCTTGATTTCCCCATCCCAATAGTATGATAGCCTTTTCACTTTCTTACTTTTGGAAGCCATTCTGAATTCGCAACTGCGGCATTTTACACACAGGGAATCCAAAATATGTAGATCCCTGTGTACGAACTGCTCTTAGGCTTCATTTGGGATGGCTTTCTTACTCTTTTTAAAGCAGATTTACTAAAAAGATGCTTTAAGAAGTAATAAAAAAGCTCTCCTAAACGAAATCTTAGTTGATGAAAAGAGTTGAGAAAGGAGAATCTGGCGACGAACCACTCTACGAGTATGTTGTTCTAGTCTTCACTCTCATCTCAAGTAAATAGCTTGTTTTTAATGTGGAGTGTTAATCTGTATAGGATCAAAAAATTCTATCAACGGGCTATTGTTAGAAATTTTTACTAGTCACTTCAGCATCAAAGGCTGTTGTGATAGCCTCAACAATAATAATATCAGTGCCATCTTTTGTGCTATAAGCTTGATGAGGCTGCTGAGGGATTCTTTCAAAAGCCCACTGATAAGAAATGTTTTCTGTAGGGGATAGTTCCTGCTGGCCATTTGTACTTTTAGGTAACGAGATGGACAGAGAGATTATTTAGGACTAAATGGGATATTATCTTTGTTATTTTCGGCATAATTCTTATGATATTCTCTTATGGCCGTTTTCTATTATTTCTTCTGATGTGATTTTTTGAATTATAGTATTTGGAGTATTTTCTTAGTTTATGTTTTTGAACATGTTTGTTCATTATTTAATAAATAGCCTAAAAAAATATAATAAAAAACTCATATAATGATTGTTTTATATGTCGATTAATGATCTTCTATTAAATTTTAATGTAGTTAGTATATTTTAAAAATTGCAAATATTATTAATTATATACACGATGAAAACATTAAATAAATTGTTAGTTAGATTTAAATATTTTCTTATTATTTAAAATTTATCAAACAATTTCAAGTGTACTTAATAAATAATGTTAATTTTTAATAAAAAATTAGAACCTCAATTATATTCAATAATTTGGTTTTTTTAATTATATGATTTATTTATTTATTTTTTTACATTCATAATTAGGTTATAAGGTTAAATTATTAATATGAACTATTTAATTATTTAGATTTGATTAAAGTTCAATGTAAGATCAAATTTGATAAAAAAAATTTCGTAATTAATATTGAACAATATTTTAGAACTCATATTATATTGAAGTTCTATTTAAACTTGATTTTTATTCTTTATAGTGTTTTCAAATAAAATTTTTTTATCATATTATTTTTATGTGTATGCTAAAGTTTTGTACAATGCATAGACTTAAAACACATATTCTACCTACTCAAATTTTCTAGCAATTCATAAAGTGCAATTATTTGCCTTCATGAAATCCTTGTCAAACTACAAAAAAATATAAGTCATATGATGAAACCTTGCTAGAAATAGCATCTGTGGGCTCAATAGAGTAAGAAAAGATAGAAAAGTCACAACTAAGGATTTGAGACAAATTTTTTATTACTTTGTACAACATATTTCTAATTCAAAAAAAAAATTATACTAAAAAAATTACATTAAAAAAATTAAGAAAATTATCAAATCTAAATCTTCTACGGATAAAATTTCAAGCGCTATATATATAATAATTTAAATCCCGATATAATCGGACATAAAAAATGAATAACGGATAATCGCTCTTCTAAATTCTTCGAATTTCAAATCAATAACCCCGGGGTTTTCCCAGTGTGCGGGGCGACTCGATGTTCTCCGCCACCTTACATCGTCGCGCTGCCATCGAATCTATCCTCATATCCGGAACCCTGGCCTCGTTCTCTACTGCAACCGTTACTTCCACCTCATATGCACTTCCATTATCCGATCCCCTTCTCGAACAATTCCTCCCCTGCCGCACACACCCCCAGCCTCGTCTCGGTCTAATTCTTCGCCTCGAACTCCTCCGTCAACTTGCCACGGCTCTGAAAACCGATCCTCAATGCTCCACCGCCGCTTCTTCCCTCCTCCTAGGATTCCACTCGGCCCCTCTCGCCGACCTTCTTTGTTCTCTCCGCAACCCCCGCCCTGCTCTCTCTTTCTTACTCATCGCCTTCCCCAACCTCTCGCCTGATGCCGTCGTATTCTCTTGCGACGTAGCTTTCCTCATCTTCTCAACCGAAAAGTTGAAACCTTTAGCACAAGGCATCCTCTCCGGTCTCCTCCACCGCCTCAGCCCTCACCGCGCCACCGAGCTCCTCCGCTGGGCTGCTCTCCATCACTCTTACTCCACTCACTATCACGCCCTCCACCTCGTCCTTCGCGCGTTTCTTGGCGCTGGTATGGTATCAGAGGCGCTCCAAGCTTTGTCAGAGATCCGGCGCGCGGGTAATACCCCGAGTCTCTCAGTCCATGCTATTCTTCTCCGGCTTCTCTTCAGGACGGGGGATTCTCGAAATGCTTGGAAATTGTTCCGGGATATGATTCTTCGAGGTCCTCGCCCGAGCGTCAGGACCTTCAATGCGATGATTCTTGGATCATGCCTCAAAGGAAGGGTTGCAGCCGGCGAAGGGCTGTTTTGGTTGTTTCCAAAGTATAAACTTGAGCCGGATGCTTGCAGTTTTAATATTGTTATGAAAGTGCATTGTTTGTTTGGTCGTGCGGGGAATGCGTTCAAGCTGTTTGATGAAATGCTTGAGTTGGGACATGTGCCTAGTATTGTAAGTTATAATATTTTGATCAACGCGCTTTGCAGGCAAGGGAGGATGGAGGAGGCAAGGAGGTGGTTTGATCGTATAGTGGAAGATGGGCATGAGACAAATATTATTACTTATAATGTCCTTTTGAATGGATATGTGAAGGCTGGGCAGATTGATCTTGCTAATTCTACTTATGAAGAGATGGTGAAGAAAGGAATTTCGCCCGATTTTTATACATTCAATATACTTGTGTCAGGGCACAACAAGTTCCGCAAAGATTGGAAAGGACTGGTTCAGAACTTGTTTAGAGATGCATTAAATGATGAGGTATGTACTCATATGTTAATCTCAAGCCTTTGTTGGAATGGGCAGATGGAAGATGCAGTATCTCTGATGCCCAGAGATGCCAAGGATTGTTTGCTGCCTAGTGTTGCAGTTTTTAATTCAATTATTGCTGGCTATAGCAAGGAGGGGCTGGAGGAAGAAGCTATCAATATGTATAGAGTAATGGTGGATGAATTTGGCCTTGTGCCTTCTGCTTCTACTTGGCAATCTTTGCTCTTAGGATTTTGCAGGGGAGGAAGGATAAGTGAAGCTAAAGAGCTTTTGTATGAGATTGTGGAGAGGAGATTAAATGTGGGTATATCAGCTTTCACCATATTTATAGATGGGTGCTTTAGGTTTGGCAGAGTATCTGAAGCTCTAGATTGCTTGAATTACATGGAAAGGAAGGGTATCCTGCTTGATGTCGTTGGCTTCTCGGCCTATATAAATGGCCTTTGTCGAGTGAAGTGCGTGGAAACAGCCCAAGAAGTTTTCAATGAAATGCGTAGGAGAGGATTGATCCCTAACAATCTTATCTATAACTCTCTAATATCTGGCCTGTTCAGAATAGGTGAAAGCAAAGAAGCATTGAAGTTGGAAGCAGATATGATGTGTAATGGACTGAGTCCTGACATATTCACAACAAACATTGTTATTCATGGTTTCTGTCAGCAGAGATGCTTGGAGAGGGCTGATGGCAAGTTCCGACAAATGGGATGGAGTGGATTATATCCAGATATCGTTACTTTTAATACATTAATTGCTGCGTGTTCTAGAGCTTTTGAACCTGGACGTGCAGAAAGATATTTTGAGCTAATGGCTTCAAGAGATTGCAAACCAGATATTTTTACTTATAATATAAGGATCCATAGCCTCTGCAGCAGCTACAAAACCCCTGAGGCAATAAAGATAGTAGATATGCTCATCTCAGATGGCTTTACTCCTAACACAGTCACTCATAACACTGTGATGAATGGCATATGTGCTGATAGTCTTGGTCGTGCCATGATATTATCTGGAAAGTTGATTAAGATGGCCATTGTTCCAAATGTTGTTACGGTCAACCTCCTTCTGTCTCATTTCTGTAAACAAGGGCTGGCTGAGAGAGCCTTGATTTGGGCAGAAAAGTTCAAAAAGGTCTCCTTTGATTTTGATGATGTGACATTGCATATACTGGACAAAGCGAGTAGTTACCTGCAGAAAGAGTCAGAGGCCAAAGTGGCCTCAGGCAAAGATTTGTTTTTAGAGTTCCTCATGCACATCACATATGAGTTAATATGCAATAATAATCAAGCATAAACCTTTGACCATTACAAGCTTAGTCGATAATGGTCTTACCGGCGCTTCGACGATGATGTGAAATGGCAAAAAGCCATATAGAGGTTTGCTCCCACAATTTTTCATGGATGAGAATTCAGCTTCTCTTTACCCTGCTAATATTGTTGGCTTATTGTTGGTCATCTGAGATATCTCCAATTGAAATTTGCTTGATGTGTAAACGATAGGACCATTCTGCTGAGTTTTGAGGCCTGCAGCAAAACTTTTAAATAAATTTATCTTTTCTGGAAGGGACATACCATTGAAAATTTCTGAAGAAGACATGCGTGAATACTGTAAATTTACTTCCATTCTCATTCAGGTTAGTGGCTTGTGTGTTATATTTCCTTCCTTCATCTAGAATCTTTGCTCCTGTCATTATTGATTATAAAAAAAGTTGAGAAATGTTGTTTCAATCATGGCTGCCTGATGCAGTTTATACATTTATTCTAGCATGACTGAAACCAAGAAGAGGGATCAAAACCCAGGCAAATTTTTTCAACGATGAAACTGGCATCTTCAGGAGGTTTAATGGCGAACAACAATAGAAGAGACTTTGCAGCGATGCCTTCATGCACTTTTACACAAGAGCTATCTGGTAAGATATTTACTGCCATCTTTCCAGCAGTTTTGTTTATTAATCCTCAATTAGTTATGTTTACACTTCAAAGATCTTTCAGAAGGCAACTTTAAGCTTCTTAGTAATAATTTAAGGTTTCAAGTCTAATCACTTGTTACCTTATCATAATACTGGAATTCTCCAATTCCAGGGAACCTCCAAGTGCCGTTTCTCTCTTGGCAGGTGATGTGGAACATCTTAGCTAAAGTTTACCTTAGGATTATGTTATTAGTTTGTTACATAGAATATTTTATGACTAGTTTATATATGCTAGTATTGTAGTAGGAAAAGACATTGATGAATATATATCCCTTTTGAAGTTTTAAGTTTGTGTTTGTTCCGTGGATTGGAAATTCCTTCTAGCAGATCCGATTCTTATGCCTATCCACTACATCAGTTAGTATCATATTCTGGAGCTCGCGAAGAATGACGGATTACCGAAGAAGATGAGCTATCGACGATCCGAAGAAGATGGGCGATGGATGATGATCGAAGCCGCGAAGCCCTTTGGGCAGCTCAAGTGAATACATCACTTGATCCAATGATTGATTCATGTTCTAATTTCATTCATTCCTAGACAGAATATGATCGTCGACAACCATCCTAGCGTCTTCGTGTTTGATCCTCTCATTTGCTCCAGCACACGATCAGATCCGCTATCAATTCGCACACTGTCGCTTAGACATGTCCCTCTCCTCCAACGCGCCTGCGCAACCGACCCCACTGTCACGACCCAACCCGATCGGAACAAATCCCTTCGTGTCGGGCCGCGACGGAATTGAAATCCAAGATCTAGCTTTGAAATTTGCTTCAGACTTTTTTCCAAATATCAAACTTACAGAAAACAGAGCTACTATAAACATCAAATATACAGAATAGTTCATCTATATTTTCTTCTTTCATCAAATAATCATGTACAATACAGTGCATGATTACAGACAAAGAACAAAATAGAAAAGTCATGACTATACAAAAATCAAAAGTACAAAATATCTAAAATTACAGATCAGACACTGAACGGCTAGTCCAAGACTTCATTCCCTTTCCTAGAACCTGAAAACCACACAGATAACAAGGATGAGCTAACAGCTCAGCAAGACTACACTAGCCAATCAAAATCTCCAGAAACTCACATCAGAAAACACATCAGAATAGTAGCCATACAAAATTCATATAATCATACAGAAAATCAGACAGAACAAAAATCAATTGAAATCAAATAATTGATACATAATAACTGAATTCATTTCACACAACAGAATTATTCAAATCAGATTAATCACAGATCACAAAATCGTACAAATCAAAGATCAGAACAGATTTCAGAAAAAACATTCAAATCAGATTTCATCACAGATAAGATCACATATCAGATATCACATATCCCTGACCCTGACAGAATCTCAACGGATTCTGTCCCCTTATGCCTCCCTTCCCTGACACTGACAACGGAATCACAAAAGATTCCGGCCCCTTATGCCTCCTTTTGTACTTACAGCACCAGAACAGTTCAGATATACAGAACTTATTTTCAGATTTCTGGACCCAGACAACGGAATCACAAAGGATTCCGGCCCCTTATAACTCCATTATAATATCACAGCACATCAAAACATCAAATTCAGAAAATTCAATTTCGTCAGAAAAATCGTCAGCGGCATAACGACAGTATACGGAAATTCCACAGAATTTACAATTTCAGAAATTTACCAAATTATCACAGATAGCAGAAAACATCATTTCAAGACTTTCATTGTACTGAAGCAAATATTTTCAACATCCAGATAATTCGTAATTCGCTTAAAACACCGCAGAATTCAAAATAACCGGTAAAAATCTTCAGAAAATCCAATTTCGTCAGAAAAATCGTCAGCGGCATAACGAGAGTATACGGAAATTCCACAGAATTTACAATTTCAGAAATTTACCAAATTATCACAGATAGCAGAAAACATCATTTCAAGACTTTCATTGTACTGAAGCAAATATTTTCAACATTCAGATAATTCGTAATTCGCTTAAAGCACCGCAGAATTCAAAATAACCAGTAAAAATCTTCTAGAAAATACTCAAAACGTTCAAAAATATCGACTCAGAAATATACCAAAAGTTACACTGTAAAATATTCACCAGTGCGAAATTATACCAGATTTTGGCTAACGAAAATCGAATTCGAAACAGAAAAGTCGTCAAAATTCGCATTTCTGAAAATTGAGAAAGACGAAATGTGTCTTACCTCGAGTCGGTCAACTTTTCCAACTACGGCGACGGACGAAAACGGACCGAAGTCGCCCAAAATCTACTTTTTCTCATTTTTCCTTCGTTTTTCTATCTCCTGGACTTTTCTCTCTCTTCAAAAATATCTCAATCCAATATATACACATACAGATCGTACGGGACGAATCCCTTGTCGGAATCGTCCGGGACGATTTGACCTCTGGACAAGCTTCGTTCAAACGAAGTGTATTGGACGACTTGCTCTCTGGACAATTCTTACGGACGAACCAAATTTCGTCCTCCCACCAGGACGATCCTGGAAGGAAAAACAAGGAAACTGACTTTCACACCCACTCGAACACGATGCTTCCGCCGCTGATATCGACTTCGTTGAGAGAGAACGAATCACTAAAGTCCTCTGCCTCCCGCATGCACGCCTCCAGCGAGCACGACCTTGCTTGCAACTCCATATCCGGAACTTCCCTCCATTTTCTCTCGAGACCAGACTGGCGCTCACGGACTACCCACATCTCGCGCTCCTCCCAATCCCGCTTTCGACCTACATGTGACTTCAGTCCTCTCCCAATTAGCGCGACTTCGGCTACTTCGCTCACGCCAACTGGATCATCTGGAATATCGTCGCCCTCTTCGTCTTCCTCGCCTCCTTCCAAGCACGCACAAAGAGATGCAAGCTCACGCAAGGAGCCTAACATTCATTCCCTTCAATCATTTCGATCCTCAAACTCACACTCGGGAGACATCATCTCCTATTGGATCGGCTCGGGCACACAACAGGAAGCAGAAGAGATTTGGATCCCAATCAAACCCACGGTCCGCCCAAATCTGATCCAGATTCGCTTAAGAAATCCTCAAGAAATCAGAAACCACATCAGTTTTGGGGCAATGGCGACAACAAGGATGACGAGCCGTCGCAACCTCTCAAACTGGTCGTCACAGAGTCCTAAACCCTAAACAAACAAGTACTTGTCATGATTATTATCATTATCACCGTCATCATCCTGAACTTCACCTAGAGCACCTGGTTATATATCTATTAACATGAGCTGCATGCATGATCTTCTCACCCTCGTGCTGCATGATTGAATACCCTTGATACTATATCCATTTTGATCCTTTTAGGATGCTCGAGTTTTTCTCCTCAAAATGGCCTTCAAAGTCATAGCTATGACATAAACTGCTATGCAAATAGATCGATCCATTAACTCGTGTGAAATTAATCAATTAATACCTCAAACCGCTCTCATAACTCTCTCATAGGAACAATTATTACGTCCTCTGACCTGACGTAGAGGTACGCTCGGCCGCCAATTACATGTCGCCACGTGCTCTTACTCTTTAACGCGCGGCCCGACGACTTGACCTGGAGCGAAACCCGGGAATGCTATGTTCGCGATTTTCTCTGTATTGCTCGGTATTGCTTTGCAAAAACGAGAAATACCGCTCTGTGAAGAACAAAACTATACAAATACCGAGTTGTACCGAGTTTTTCTACAACTCGGTACAACTCGGTATTTGCTCGGTATTGCTACGGATTTGCTCGGTATTGCTAGAAAAAACTCGGTACAACTCAGTATTTGCTAAGGATTTGCTCGGTATTGCTAAGGATTTGCTCGGTATTGCTAGGTATTTGCTCGGTATTGCTAAGGATTTGCTCGGTATTGCTAAGGATTTGCTCGGTATTGCTAAGGATTTGCTCGGTATTGCTAAGGATTTGCTCGGTATTGCTAAGGATTTGCTCGGTATTATTGCTAGAAAAAACTAGGTACAACTCGGTATTTGCTAGATATTTAAAATATATCCAAAAGGTGATGGGATGTTGTTCGGCTCGTCAAGGAATTAAAAAAACGCACACGCTAGAACCCAAAAAACAGCGGGTCGGGTCGGCGACTTTTCTTCGTGCTACGTGACGCTAAAAGGTTGGTGGCCGAACGTAGAGGAGCGTACGTTCACCGAACCAAATAAAAGTTCCTCTCATAGCGGGGGAAACCTGGGCTCTTGTAGGGTAAAAATGTGTGAGGACATCATTGATGTCCTTTATTAATGCCCTATGCCCTCATGACATCATGATTAATAAAACTACATTAAAAAATAAGCTTATTAAACGTATTTTATTATAGTAATAACAAATTTATACTAAATTAGTAATAAAAACAAAACATGTTTATTTTGAATGACCTCATAGTCTAGCATATGTCTTGGCTGAAATAGTCACCTTTGATTGGGAGAGATTATTACGTGCGGAGTTCGTACCAGAGAATTGTTTGGTTTTTGTGAGTGTCCGTAGTAAAAACACAGTTACTGGACACCACTATGTTTTTACTGCGCTATTGCGTACACTCACAAAAATAGGATGCAGCTTTGATCCGAACTCCGCACATGATAATCTCTCTTTCGACCCTCAATTACAGTGTCACATCTTTGAACTTTTTTTTTAAACCCTATAATAAATATTTCAAGCATTTAATAAGGAGAATTAAATAATCATAAGTTAAAAATGCATAAGATACTTTAGAAAGATGGTATGAATTTATTTTTATGAATTTAACATCTAAGTTGTAGTTTTCTGTTTAAATTTTTATTAAATTTTGAGGTTAATGTTCGCATATGTATCATCATATATATATTTTTTTATGATGATTCATATATAGTTTTTTTTTTCAATATAAATTATTTGTTCAGATCTTAGCTCTTAATCAGATTAATTTATTTGTTATGCCTATGCATTATTGAAGTGTACCCTCTTACGTGTAACAATATTAAAGTCGCACAGTCTTGCACGACTTTTGATGCCTTCTTTTCCTTCCACGGCCGTCTGTAAAGTTCCCCATGCCGCGCGTTCGATGGGATAATTTGGCAAGTCGTTGTCTGGCATTATAAGTTCTAGTTGGTCGTTGCCTCTCTCTCTCTGTCTTGCCCGCCATTAGCCCTCTTTCAATAATGTCAACCTTCCTGTTTTAGTTAAGCCACTAAATTTGATCAATTTCTTATTTCTTCGGTGTTCCAAAGCTCGAACCACCCATTTGAGTGGTCAGAGAGAGAGAGAGAGAGAGAGAGAGAGAGATGGAAGGGCTTATCAAGGGCTTGGCAGAAGTGGCTATAGGGTTTCTAGCAGGAGATCGCGATGACCACCCCGAGCGCCAGTCGTCCCCGGGAGGCGAAGAGCGATCTAGATCCACTTGGGCTGATGTCTCTTCATCTTCCTCCTAATTCTTCTTTTTCTTCTCCTCATTCTTACTGGTTTAACTTATCCCTGAGAGGGTGTGCAGGTGGTTTCGACCGGAAAGCACGAAGGTCAAGGGCAGGCGCAAGGTAGCAGCTATGGTTACCCTTCTAACCATACGTTTTCAAGAAAGGTCTAACCTTTTGACACTTATATTAAATATATGAGAATGGACTTGAGCGAATCTAGGGATGGATCGAGAGAGAGATTAATTTGGTTAATTTGCTAAAGTACTGAATGTTTTATTTTGTTCGATGGGTCAGGATGAGGAAGCTGAGCAGGAGAGCAGTTTAGGGCATAATGCTTATTCTTGGGATTCAAGAAAAGTGAGCAGTTTTGGTTTTGAAGGCCGATGTTTTTGTTGAATGATTTGATTCTAAATACTGTTTTTATTTTTTTGGATAAGCCAGAAAAAGGAGGATCTGGCTCATGTTAAAGAGGAGAAGACAGATGGTGATTGGGAGGTTGTTGGCCAGGGCTCTCACAATAAGAAGCGACATCCTTCAGCTTTCCATAAAGTATCTGTTCACTCTCCTGATGTTCCTTTTTTATGCTCTCCTGTCCTGCTGAATTTCTCATGTTTTTTATTGTGCTATGTTGTTCAAAATGAGAGTCACTAATTTTAGTAGCATTGAATTGGTTCCATTGGCTTGTTCCCTTACCAATTTTAGGTCGAGAAACTAGGCCATTAAATGCTGCTATTATTTGTTCATAATATGGATATCTTGCAGTTGTGTCATTCGTTTTTTTTGCTAATTTAAATTGATGTGGTTCTCTAAGTATTACATTTCATAGCAAAGCTATGTATGCACTTGATCTGTTTGCATTTATGAAGAGTGGTTTGAGTGATTAAAACAATAAGTTATATTGGACTATGTGAGTTTTATTGGCACAGAACCTCACCAATGTCTGCAAATTTAAAAGAGGTCTTACTCTGAGTTTAAGAGCTTATGTTTTCTTTCAAAGATTGTGTAAAAATGGGTTGCCTACGAAGTGTTTCGGATTATGATATTTTATTATTGGATTTCTGCATTACCTAAATGTACATTTTCTTTTCTTTCTTTTTTTTTGTTCTTTGTGATAATGTTGTGTTGCTCGATCTTTGAATGTTGCTTAATTTGCAGGTTCCCAAGGAAAACTGGCAAATGTTCAAGCTGCCTCCTAGTGATCAGATGTACACTAATGCAATACACTATGGTGCAGACACTCAGCCATCAAGAACAGAGCTTTCTGACTTGTCTGAAGCCTGTAGTAAGCTGTGGGAACTTGATTTAAACCGCTTGGTTCCTGGAAAGGATTACGAAATTGATTGTGGTGAGGGGAAAAGAGCTCACCAGAAGGGAGATATGGCATCAGGAAGCTTGTTTAAGTGGCTGGGTGATGATGTGCTTAGGCGCTCTACTTATGCTCGTTTCTGCTCCCTTTTGGATAACTACAATCCTCAAGAAGGATATAAAGAAGTTGTAACTCCTGAAGAGAGGCACGAGCAGACTGCATTTATTCAGGAGATAGTCAGGACACCTCCAATTAATTATCTGCACAAATATCTTGTTGAGAAGGGCATTGTATCTGGTAATTCTGAAGAGTTTAAGGAAATTTTGACTCATCTATGGTTTGATCTTTATTCAAGAGGAGGTGGACATGGCTCCTCTTCTGCTTTTGAACATGTTTTTGTTGGGGAAATCAAGGGTCATGGGGAAAATGCTGTCTCGGGTTTTCACAACTGGATTCAGGTAGTATTTTAATGAAAATATTGTTCTATAAAGTTCCAGTGAAGTAAGAACAACTAGCATGGTGGGAGACCATAAGTCTAGGCCTAATTGCAATGGTTAAGAAATGACCATGAGTGCTTCCTCTCCTTTGGCATCAGTAGGAAAAAATCTGTTCTGAATCCTCTCCAATTATCGTGGTTATGGCATGGTGCAATTACCTACATCTCAGTCATCCATTCCTGCATGGTTAATATTTTTTCAACCTACTTCTTTACCAAATCACTTTGAGCTTTGTTGTGTAGAAATTATCCCAGTAGCGTTGTTATTAAAGACACTCTTTTGTTGGCGTGCTTTGCCCCAATTTCTCGAAGTCAAATGAATGGCTGGGGTAGGGGGAATTATTGTACAATTGGCTTGGTAATTTGAGAGGATCCATGTTTTTTGAAAGACAAAGAACTTTATTTAGAAGCAACTAAGGGGCTGTTTGAGGTCCCTTTTTTAATTTTTAAAATGCATGCTTGATTTATAATTTTTAGCTGTTTTAAAACAAAACTAATAGGACTCCAAACATGTTATTATTTTATATTAAAACATAAGATAAAAAAAGAGAGAGAAAATGATCCCCAAATAGCCCCTAAAATTTTGTTTCTTGGATCTTGATGCAAAGATTTATATTTATTGAAGGATCAATCTTACCATCTAAATTTATATTTTTTCACTACATTTATACCCATTTCATAGTCAATGGTTAGGACTACCGACTACTAGGACTTTGCCACAGTTTTAATGGATATTCCTTGGTAGCTCTGAAAGCATCAACTATGGTACTAACCTGTGCAGTTTTATCTGGAAGAAGCTAAAGGAAATGTAGACTATCAAGGCTATGTTTTTCCCAGGAGGTACGGAGAGCATGTAAGTATTTTTAATTTCTTGATTACATTCTTAATAATTAACTTCATTATTTAAAGTTTTTCTTGTATGCCTCATACTTGCAATAAGACATCTGCCTTTGTTTAGAATAAAATTTGATTTATCAAACTGGCCAATATCACCTTGGTCTGAATGAATGTTCTTTGGAATTCCTTAAAATAAGGACCATATCATGCGGTATAAATGTGGAAAACTTATAATTAGTTGTTAATGGCTGTAAGAAGTAGCCAACATTTCTTGTGTAAGCAGTAGAATTTTTTTGTCTTCTGGGGAACCCAGGGTGTTATTTGACAAAGAAGGGCTGCTATTTCTTCAATCTTCACGTTGTTTAGGAGATTCTACCTACCTTGTCCTATAACCATTGTTTGCTTTCTTCCAATATTTAATTATTTAAACATAACAACAAAATTGATGTTGGATTTATTTTCTGTTATATAAAGCTCTCTTGCCAATAATTATATGAAGAAGTTGCCTTCCTAACATGGAATTGGGAAAAAATTACATCAATATATTATGTTGGATTTCACGTTTGCATGGATCTAGTTGCTCTTGAATTAGCACTGAGATTAGTGCTAAATCTAATATCTATGGACAGCAATAATATCAATGCAGATCTAATTGCAGCTAGGCTGATCCTTATTGAAAATCATCAGGATATCCTAACATAAACTTTTTTTTCTTGGAAAATTATGGGAGAATTGAAATTGCTTAACATAGACATCATTTTATATTCTCTTGATGCATGAGAACTGCCTCATAGCAAAAGAGGTTTTCAAGGAAAAAATCGGCAAACTTCAATCATCCATCCAATGCTTCAATCAATAATGCATCACAATCAGGCCATCTTATGTTTTAGTCGATATAATTTTGAACATTTTCTAGAATTGTCCTAGGTATTCATTCTAATTACATATAGAGAAATCTTGGTGGAAGTGGTCATGTTTTGGAATCAATACTTATAAATAACAAAAATTGTATATGATAACCTGTGGTACCCCTAATGTAAGATTCGGTCTACTTGCCCACCTAAATTATTCAACAGTTGCTTATAGTTCGAAACCTTTATTTTTGTTGGAATTTTGTTTGTAATATCTATTTTTGATTCACTTTATAAAGACCGGTGAAGTGAGAGAGAGAATCAAGCTTTGCAATAATAACACTACCAGTAAAAATAATTGCACCTGATACTGTTGTCTTATATAGCCTTGTATGTGGCTTTGTTTCTTGTATTTGTTTTTCCCTTACTTAAGCAGGTGGGGTTTCTTGCGGCTTTGTAAGCCCGAGGGAACTGGGAGGCGAGCCAAGCAAGCAACGAATGAGAGGAGAGACAAACCATGAGAGGGATTGCAACTTGGTGCAAGAGGAGCATGTGAATGGAGAGGCCGAGCGAGAGCAACTCTCGGGCATCTTGTGCGATTCAAAGGTACATCAGAAGGAGATTTTTTATCGGGAGAGAGGTAAGTATCTTTGCTCTTAAACTCTTCCATTTGGAGTTCCTTTGAAACCGGCCAACGAGGCTATGACATCATTGGGTGCCCGATTTTTAGAAGGAATTGAGAATGTTTGAAGGTAGACAAAGAAGTAATCTCATGTGATATCTCTCAATTGTAATTTCTTTAAGACGTTTGCATTCCTTTAAAAAATTTATCTAGATCTATGCTTTGTAAGCCATTATAATTTTCTTGTGCATCTTAATAAAAGAAGTTAGCCCTCCCTCTTTCTCTCCATAGATGTAGGCACCCCTTGCCGAACCACTTAAATCCATGTGTTCTTGATTCTTTTGGTTGTTTTTATGATTCTTTGATTTACATGTTTTATGTTCAAGTTTGCAAGATTCTTGTTTAAAGATTTATGTTCAATCTTACTTACTAATTTTGTCAAGAAGTTTGATCCATTATTGTAAATTGTATAGGATTTGGCTGATTTTAGATTCTTGTACATATTTTGGTAAGCATGTTGGCTAGATTCTCATTTGTATGTACTTTCTAAACTTCCACAGTACCTTCAGCTAGAACATCCTTGATAAAATGCAATCTGATATCAATGTACTTTTTTTCCTTTCATGAAATATTTGATTCTTCATCAGCTGAATAACACTTTGACTATCACACCATATAACCGATTTTATTTGTGTTCTCAAGCTCTTCAAGAAATCATTTCAACCAGATGCCTTTTTTTATTGCCTCTGTAGCAACTATATATTCTGGCTCTACTATTAATAAAGCCACAATTGACTGAAGATTTAATTATTAACTGACTATGTTTCCGTAGACTTGAAAGACGTACCCTGTCAAGGATCTACGCTTGTGCATACCTCTTGCATAATCTGAATCCGCAAATCCTGAAATATGCTCTCTCCCCCAATTTTCCTTTATGTAATTCAACCCAACAGATATCTGAAGATCCACTTAACTGCCCTCTAGTGCTCTTTTCCCATATTAGCCATGAATCTGCAAATCATACTCATAACATATGCAATATCTGGCCTGGTACAATTCATAGATACATTAAACTATTTGCTGCACTTGCATACAGAACTGAATTGCTGCACTTGCATACAGAACTGAACTCATGTATCTTTGATCTTCCTTTGGTGTTGGTGATTGTGACACATAAAGTCTGAACTGTGAACCCATTGGTAATGAAACTGATTTGGCTGATTCCATTCCAAAATTTTTTAGAACTTTTCAGATATAACTTTGTTGAGACAAATTCATTAAGCATTTATTTCTTTCCCTTATTACATTTATCACAATTATTCGTCTTGCCTGACCCAAATCCTTCACTCAAATTGACTGTTCAATAACTACTTTAACTGATCCCAAAAACCCTTTTGATCACTGCTCATTGCTTCTTTATACAATATCTGTTGGCATCAGCTCTTCCTACATCTGATCTGTATGAATATCCTCTACAACATCAGTGCCTTATGTGTTCTCCTGATCCCTATCAGTAATCTGACCAATCATCATTTTTTGCTTATTGAAGATGGTATGTCTGCTAATAATACACTTGGATTCATCTGAAAGTCAACATCTATGCCATTTCACTCCCTCTGGTTATCCTAAGAATATGCCTTTCTTGGATATTGGTTTCAGTTTTTGCTAATTCATATGAACGTATACTAGACATAAAAAAATTCTTAGATTAATGTTGTCTGCCTTTTTTGCTATCTAAATTTCTGTAGGAGTTTTGAGTTCTAATGCTATAGACGGACTTTTATTTAGCAAGTAGCAAACAATATTAACTACTTCTCCCCAGAAATGCTATCCAAATGATAACATACATTTAATCTTTTCTAGCAAAGTTTTGTTCATCTTCACAGCAATACCATTTTGTTGCAGAATCATTCTTACAGTCTTACGTCGGGCAATTCCATGATCTTTATAAAATTCAATAGACTCATTATTCAAATATTATAACCCATTATCTATTCTCAGCCTCTTAATTTTCTTTCCAATTTGATTTTTAACAATCATTTTTCATTTCTTAAATGTCTTAAATGCTTTATATTTATTTTTTAAAATATAAATCCAGACTTTTATTGAGAAATCATCAATGAAGGAGATAATATTTACCTCCACCCAAAGTCAAAATAGGAGCAGGTCCCCAAATATATGAATGAATGTAATCGACCATCCTTTTGGTAATCTATTGTCATGTATGAAACTTTACCTGAATTTGTTTTCCAAAGATGCAATATTCATAGAACTCAATCTTATCTGCATTATCTTTGCCAAAAACTCCTTGTTCGTATAGAACATTTAAACCCTTCTAACTCGTGTGACCAAGTTGAAGATACCAAAGCTTTTTCTGATTTCTCTGTAACATTCAAAGTTCCTATTGAATCTATCATTGTTCTTCCCAATAAATAATACAATATGTTGTCTCCTACCCTTCATAATCACAATCGAACCTTTGATAACTTTAAGAACATCACTTTCTGCTCAAACACATCGAGAGTATCGAGAGACAACAATTTTCTTTTCAGATCTGGCACATTCCTGACTTCTGTAAGAGTCCTGATTACTCCATTGTCAATCTTGATTCTAACAATTCCAATCCCATAGACTTTACGTGTGTCATTTCCTATAATGACCTTCCCTCCATTGACTTATTTGAACGAATCAAATCAATGCTTATTAGTAGTCATATGAACCGAACACCCTCAATATGTTATCCAATCCTCCCTGTTAGAATCTATAGTAATAGCCAAAACCTCTGAATCCTCAAATCTATCTGATGCTACTGACACATCCCAAGTTCAATCAACTTTCCTTTATCTTTCTTTTTCAGATTTGGACAATTTTTCTTATAATGTCCTTGTGATGGTGAAAATACTTGAATTTGGACTTAGACTTGGATCTTGACTTATTTATATGCTTGTTCTTTTCTTTCTTCAATGGCCTTCCTTTAGCATTCAAACCTAGAGCTTCGTCTAATTCTTTTTTACATTTTGGTTTCTATCTATGTAGATTTCAACTCAGTCTTAACTTCTTCCAAAGATAAAGTCTCCTGAGCATATTTCATTGTTTCAACAAAATGAGCATACAGTTTAGGAAGTGATCCTCATCATCCACCTTAACTCCAAGATTTTATAAATCGATGACTATTTTATTGGAATCATCCAAATTATCCTCCCAACTTTTTGACTCAGACATTTTAAATCCAAACAAATTTTTCTTGTAATAGATTATATTATGCAAATTCTTAGTCATATACATTTGTTCCAATTTCAACCAAATCCCAGTAGCAGTCGTTTCTTTATCAACCTCATGAAGAATCTTGTTGCTCAAGTGCAATACTAGCATACTATTTGCTAACTACGTGATATTTATCTTCTCATCTGGATCTAAAGAACTTGACAAATTTCTCTCTCCTTTTAATACCTTAACAACCTTTATTTGGATCAGAACAATTTTCATTCTTTTTCTACAAATTAAGAAATCTATTTTTTCATTGAACCTCTCGATCCTAACCTTTGAAACCCCGTTCTGTTTAAAACCTAACTAGTGTCTATGATACCATTTTGTTAAACTTCAAAGGACTTTTAAATGCCCAATTGATTCATGTTCTTTTCCAAATTGAGTTACTAAATCTTTGAATTGAAAATTGCCTACAATTGAAACAAAAACCCCAAGCTAGTTAAATTTAGATTATGTTATAAAATAAAGAATTATCTTAATTTTTTTTACAAAAGTAAAATTACTAAGTAACCAATTTATTATTCAATTAATTGAAAACTTTTCTTCACTAACATATGTACAAAATGAATTAGAGTTATTTTTGAATAACATAACCTTTCTTTAGATAACACTTGCAAGCCAATAACAATAGTAATTGATTGTTAATTCAAGTTATATGAAAGATATACAAGATATATGCAAGAATATAAAATCGGTCAACAACTATACAATTTACTACAAGAGATCAAACTTCTTGACAAAATCAGTAACCATGATTGAACATAAAATCCTTAAACAAGAATCTTGCAAACTTGAGCATAAAACGTGTTAATCAAAGAATTATAAAAAACAATCGCCGAAAGAATAAAAAACACATGGAGTTACGTGGTTCGACATGGGGTGCCTACATCCATGGGGAGAAAGAGGACTAGCTTCTTTGATTAAGATGCACAAACAACTTACAATGCATATATCTTGATAATCATTCAAATTTCTTAAAGAAATTACAATTGAGATATATCACCTAAGATTACTTATTTGTTTACCTTCCAACTTCCTCAATTCCTTCTCAAAATTGGCCCCTCAATAATGCCCCAGCCTCGTCCATAGGTTTCGAAGGAACTCTAAATGGAAGAGTTTAAGTGCAAAGATACTTACCTCTCTCCTGATGCAATATTTCCTTCTTATTTAGCTTTGAATCGCACAAGAAGCCTGAGAGCTGCTCTCGCTCAGCCTCCTCGTTTGTACCGTTCTCCTCTTGCTCTAGGTCGCCATCCCTATCTTGGTTTGCCTCTCCTCTTGTTCGCTTCTTGCTTGACTTGCCTCCTAGTTCGCTCGGGCTTCCAAAGCCGCAAGAGACCCCACCTGCTTATGTAAGGGAAAAATAAATATAAGAAACAAAGCCATGTACAAGGCTATACAAAAGAAAGTTACACCAGAGGCATATGTTAACTTAAACAAAAATGCAGGAATTAGAAATTAGTGAAAATTAATTAAATTATATTTAACTAATATTTTATTCAAATAATTAATTAATATTTTAATTAACGCTGTTTAATGCAAGTAAGCATGTCATGTTATGCATTTTATATTCAGTCTTTTTCAGCAATGTTAGATAATGATTAAAATTTCAATCACTAGCAACAATTCAATACACATTATTGTTAAAAGAGGGCTCATATTTGTATTACTATAGTATAGACTCTTAAAAGGGCATCGAAATCTCTTTCTACAAAAGTAGGTAAATAGAAGTTTGGTCCTTATGCTTTCAACCTTATTAGCAATTTAGTCTTCTTTTCGCACTCACCCTTTATAGAAGCATATGATAAAGTTATGAGAGAAATGCTATGGAGATTTCTAGAAAACAAAGGGGTAATTATACTTATATTCAAGTCATTCAGGATATGTATATTGGATTACTTGTGCTCAAACACAAGGTGGCTTGATCAAGTATTTTCCTATTTCTGTGGATTACGTCAAGGATCAGCCTTAAGCCCATGTCTTTTTGCTTTAGTCATGGATGTTCTCACTTGACATTTGCAAGAGGTTGTACCATGTTGTATGCTTTTTGCTGATGATATTTTCTTGTTGTTAAGACTAGAGAAGAGTTGAAGGTAAACTTAAATTATGGAGGTCAACCTTAGAGTCTAAAGGTTTTTGTTTGAATAGATGTAAAATCAAATATATGGAGTGTAATTTTAGTCGTAATAGACCTAGTGGGGGCATTGCGACTTTAGGTGATTAGTCGTTTTAGATATATTGGGTCTGTTGTTCAGTGTGATGGTGTAATGAATGAGGATATTATTGGTAGAATTCAAATTGGGTGGTTAAAGTGGAGGGATGCATTGGGCTTGTTGTGTGATATAAAAGTCCCTCTCAAACTTAAGGGAAAATTCTATAAGATGGTGTTGAGACTTGCAATGCTTTATAGTGCAAAATTAGCTATTCAAATTGAAGCATCATATTAAGTGTTACAAACAAGGCTTTTAAAACCGGACCGGTCAATGAACCGGAAGAAGGAGGGGTTAGAGGTTTGATGGTTCGACCGGGGTCGGACCGGGGTCGGACCGGATGACGTAATAAATATTTATTATATTTAAATATTATAATAATGACACAATTATTTATAAATATATAACAAAAATTGAAAAAAATTATAATACTTTTACTTATATAATAGTAAAATGTTAGTCAAATAAATCAAATATTTAAATCTAAAGGATATAAATTATATTATCATAGATAATACTAAATCCAATATAATAGCATTTGATAATAATTAAGCATGTAACAACAAAAAACTTGAATTAACTAAAAGAATTTCAATAAAAAGACATGCATATATGATATACCTGCTTCAAAAACTGGTGTTTGTTGAACAGCAGGCAGTGCTTTAGCAGATTTCCACAATTCCTGCCACAAGTTGCCTGCAAATTAAAGACCACATTTTTTGCCCAAAATAAAAGAGAACTGGATCAGTTCTCAAACCCCTTGTTGCACATAATAAGAAAAAAAAAAAGAAAATTTGGAAGAAAGAAATAGCTAGGGACATCAACTGAATTAAATATCAAACTAGAAAGAATATTTACTTTTTTTCCCTTTTTTTAATTTTTATTTATTTATTTTTATACGCAAGCAAAGTCATTCTGCTAAAGATGAACTATTTAGGAACTGATCCAAAAAAAAAAAAACTTTGCTTTGTTATTTTCACTTACCACTTGCAGGATAAGCTTGAGCAAGATGAGTTGTAATGTTTTTTCAATAAAAAAAAAAAATTTGAACGGCTCAACGACTGAAGAACTGAAGAAGATTAGAATTGGGAAAACATCAGGCCTGCTCATTCACGAAGTGAAAATCAACATGGTTTTTCAAAAAAAAAAATCAGAATCTGAACAAACCTAAACGACTGAAGAACTTTAGAATTGAGAAAGCAATTCTAAAAACCTGAGAAATCAACATGTTTCTTGATTTTTTCAACCAAAAAAAAAAATTAAGATTTTAAACAAACCTAAACAGCTAAACGATTGAGGGAGATAATGCAGTAATGTTCAGTCCTTTTCATTTCGTGAATGAGATAACCTGCAGGAAAATATTTTGCTGCTTTCTTGCTTCGCCAACGAGCAGCACGGAAATGCAGAAATCGTGTTGGCTTCGCCGCTTCGGAGCTTCGCACGCCGTCGGAGAAGGACGTGGAACGAGAAAGAACGAAGGTTTTTTATTTTTCCCCTCTTTTGTGTCGTATAAACTTCCTTTCCTCTCCGCTTGGCCGCTTCGAGCTTCGCACACCAAACCGGCCGATTATTCAAAACCGGTGCCGGTTCGGCGGTTCGGCGGTCGAACCGCCGGTTCGAGGGGTTTACTCACGGTTTCATGTAAAAGCGGTTTTCATTTAATCCTTAACCGGCCGGCCGGCCGGTTCGCGGTTCAACCGGTTGAACCGGCCGGTCCGGTCCGGTTTTAAAAGCGACAAGAACGAAATAAAAAAATCATATTAAATAGCAACCAACAAAAACTAACACAATAATTGACAATAGCTGCCTCAAAGAACATGAAAAGCTTAGAAAAAGAATACCTCATTGTTTTTTATTTCAGCAACCACTGATCAGTTGAAAATTTTTAATTTGTTAAAATTTATGTATGAAGATTCTTATTTGTAAGCATAAACCAGCAAAAGTTTTTCTATACAATTTACGACATAAGAATAAACCGTGCGTGGCTCAAGGCTAAGGATAGTGATCGATTAACCTAAAACCTAAGGAATGCACAAGAAGAAAATGAAGAAAAACAATGAGAAGAAAAAGAGAAGGAGAGGATGAAGGGGAAGAGACTCACAGTGATGAGGATCGAAGGCAGTCGGCCAGAATTTGCAAGCGGAGGAGATTTTCGCCACAGCTTTGCTCCCGTCGTCCTAATCGCGCGAAACAGATCGAATGGAGAAATTAGGGCTTCGGGTCACTTAAATCCACGGATAGGCTTTGCCGGCGGTTTTAACCGGTGCAATTTGCATCGGTTATAACCGCTGCAATGGCTTTAAAATTTCTTATGCAAATTTGGTTTTCGCAGCGGTTTTCAAAACCGGTGCAAAGAACCGCTGCGAAAACTCTCATCTTTTGGTAGTAAGTTGTCTTTTCTTGAGTAGTTGCTAGAGATGGCTTTATAGATAGTAGTCATTAGGGCTAACTAATAGGTCCTATACACTCGATTGAGACGAGTTCTTGGATCGTGGTCACCTTCTTGATGAGATTTCTTTTCTAAATTTTTTAGTTTCAAATCAAGCAACCCTAGTTAAGTTGGCTTAGTCCGGCTTAATTTAGCTTGAATTCGGTTAATGTTGCTTGAATTGGATTTTCTAGATATTTGAATGCACATGTAATTCCCGAATTCTCTTATTGCAGACTAGAATATTCGTGGCTGTAGAGAGACAAACTATTTAATATTTTAGCTTTGAACGAATATCCAACATACAAATAGATAAGAGAAAGAGGGGTGTGGAAGTGAGATACCAACATTTTTACATGAAAAATCCTGAAAAGGGGAAAGATCACGAGGCCTAGCCCAGTTTGAATGAATCTACTAATATTGATGTTGATTACAAATAATATCCCTCGTCGAAGGAGGGCGCTACCTTAATATAGAAAATACACATTTTTATCTTTTAGTGTATTACAAATAAAAATACATCTTTTATTTCTCATCTTTTATTTAATATTTTAGCTTTGAACGAATATCCAACACACAATTTGATAAGAGAAAGAGGGGTGTGGAAGTGAGATACCAACATTTTTACATGGAAAACCCTGAAAAGGGGAAAGATCACGAGGCCTAGCCCAGCTTGAATGAATCCACTAATATTGATGTTGATTACAAATAATATCCCTCATCGAAGGAGGGTGCTACCTTAATGTAGCAAATACACATTGTATATAGATCGTTATATGATAACTATTCTTAAAAGAGTGTTAACATGTCATTTTGGTTAGTAGGATTGTAGTCGATAGGAGAACATGATCTGAGGGGCTGTAGTCAATCGGTGTGTGATGGTGATTAGAGGGATCGTAGTTGGCGAGCAACAGTGGTCGGAGGTTAGGTGGAATTCCAGCGGCGATAGGCGGCCTGACAGTGCAAGCTTGAGAAAGAAAGAGATATCTTTTATTTCTCATCTCTTCTCCCCCCCCCCCCCCCAATATATATATATATATAATGTGCATGCAAGTATTAAGCGAACTTATGAAGCGACACTCTTGAAAAGAGTTAAATAATATTCTACTAGGGGTGTAATCGAATCAAGTCGAGCTCTAATTTGGACTTGTTTGAGCTCGGCTCGTCAATTTTGAGATAAGCTCGAACTCGATCTCAAATTGAGCTCATATTATGCACTCGAACTTGGCTCGTTAGAGTTAAAGCGAACTCAAGCTCGACTCGCAAGCTTGCCTTGCCAGAGAAGTTGGAACGCTTGTTGCCGACGTTATTGTGCCCTAGTCGCAGGAGAAGTTCAAGTGTCTGGTCGCTGGAGAAGTTTGAGTGTCTGGTCATTGGCAAGTTGGAATGCTAGTCGTCATAAAAGTTGGATCGCTGGTCGCTCGTCAGGAGAAGAAGATGCTGAAGTGAACAACACGCTTTTTTTATTTGGAGTAGAGAAGTCGGTTTTAAAAAAATAATAATAAATAAAATTTTTTGAAAGCACATTTTGAAAAAAATGCAAGCTATCAGTGACCTGCATGCTTTTATTAAATGCATAATTAAAGTTTTGCAGTATTTGAACTACCTATAGATTTTTTTAATAAATAATATAAATTTTTCATTTTTAAAATATCAAGCTAATCGAGCTGAGCTCACAGCCGACGAGTCGAGTCTTATGAAGCTTGAACTCGAGCTTGTTTAATATGCGAGCTCGAAGCTCGACTCATGAGCTCATTACCGAGTTGAATTTGATCAGGCTCACAAGCCTGCTCGACTCATTTACACCCCTATACTCTGTTTAATTCACACCCCTATACTTTGCTAAAATCATTCTTGACCTCTATGGAGGATGATAGAGACAATCGCAGGCCTCCGCGCTCTTCGCAAACGGGCAAATGGAAGGATAGATTAGATCGCACATACGACTAACCATTGAGGATATCGACTCTCGCCAACGCACCTTGATGGGTAGTAATATATACGGCCTGATCAAAACAACGGGTTTCCCCCACCCGATACATCAACTCAAGTGGGGTTTATTTGATGGTGCAGTTCCGTTTCCCATGGGCACAAGCCCCCGTGGTTAATTACATCTCAAGCTTAGGGCTCTAGAAAACTCTCGCCTAAGGATCCGACATTATTCTTCCCAAATAAGGGATTGTCACGAAAGGGGAGACTAGGAAGTTCTTACTCAAAAGGAAAGAAATAGTCCAATTGGCTTAGTAAACATGCACGGTTCATTTCAGCATCCGGAGGGACTAAGGCAGTTGAGGAGGGAGAGAAACTTAAACACTCAAAACATACAGAGAGGGAGGATAGAAGTGGCGTCATCCATGTGATGTGGATAAGTAGGATTTATAGTTCCCTGAAGAAAAGAAACTTACCCACTATTTAGGCATACTACGAGACACCCAATGTAGTAGCTTTGAATTCTAGATCTAAGGTGGGTTTAGTGTTCTACCCAACAGTAACTCCCATTTCCTAGCTAATGCACATAGGCTTATACCCTGCCTGAAAAGGGATGCCAGCTAAAGACCTAGGCACATAAAATCTATGATATCCAGTCTTTTTGAAATATGGGTAGGTAGTTTAGTTTTTGGAAGTAGGACCGACGTCTAGAGAGTTTCCTAATTGGTCCTAGACTTATATAGGGTGAATGCTCCTAGAGCTAATGCAATTAACGTTTTAATTAAGTTGGTTTCTAATATAATGCATGCTGGTTTAAAGGTCTAAATCAAATATGCTTGATATTTTAAAAACAGGCTTATATAAAAAATAATATTTAGAAAATGTAGGGTCTCCCCAGGTCCAACACTTCATCCTCATAGGCCAGATTATTCGGACTCTGCCCGCGGGCGGGGAGGTGTCTTATTAGGAGGAGGAAGAGAGATGCAATAATATGCATGCGATCCCAGACAATTCCGATTATTCCCTAGGTCGTTAACTTTCTAAGTTATTTAATTCTTAAAAATTTTAGAATTTAGTTATGAGTAGAAAAATATTTAGTTCTTAAAGAGCCTAGCGAAAATATGTCACATACATGTTAGAAAGAAACTTAAGAAAATTATGTAGTTTCTAATGCGCATACAAAGTAAACACATCAATATAAATAAAAAAAGTAAAAGTAAGAAAGTCCACGGCAATTGCCGTATAAGTACATGCAATCCAGGGTCTGCAGAAAAATAATGGTGGCTAGGCTCCACCGACAACCTAGATTCTAATCTTAATAAACGACGTGAGTCTTAAAAGTTAAGCATTTCGTCTTCATGTCACCGTCTTTGAGTGGATCGTCCTCTCCGAATCATCTCCTTCGGGCTCTATCTAGTTCGTCCTCCAGAAGGGTGCCCAAATAACTAAGAAATCCCCCGAGAGGGGGCCTTTCTTATTCTCTTTGGGTACCAAGTGTTTGAAATGCCGAACTTTTAACGACTTTCACAACTTAATAAATAACAAATTATATTACATTTGAAAAAAAAAATCTAGACCCGGACTCCTGCATGTTTATCCTAATAAAATAATCCCAAGCAATTTAATGTATCATATCCCAAGCAATATATGTGCAAAAAATAAACACGTTTAGCCACGCTCTTTTAATTTTAAAGGGGGTTAAGCATTCTCTGGAACATCTACATAAAATAATATTTGTTTTAAAGCATTATGATTATGCACCCTTTATTTAGCACTGCATGAGCGTGGTCACCTGCATAAGACTGGATTAGTATAAAAGCGGTCCTAGCCCATGGGTAGTCTAACGCACACATCATAACGCAAAGGGAAAGTACAATAATAAAACAAAATATCACAACAATCATCACAACATATCAAAGCAAAGCAAATCAATCAACATACGTGTCACACACAATTACATCTTATCATAGAAATAGAAAGCAAAAAAAGTAAACACCGGCTCTAATCCTAAGCTAGAAGTGGTGCCCTAGCAAACCTATGTGTGTGTAATAGGCTTGTGTGGCTTTGGATAGTTCCTATATATGATATTTAATTCAAGTTACCTAAAGTTCAGATTTGTTGAAGGTTTCAAAAGGAAACTTTAATTAAAGTTCAAATATTATTGGATTTAGATTCAATTTTAATTAATTAAGTTTATGGATCAGTTTTAATGCTTAGGGTAGTGGTATTTTAAGTTTAAATTATATTAGTCAATTTTGGAAGGTCCGGGATCCTATA